TGTGTTGAGCAGGGATCTTAGCCATGCACTGTCGATGTGAACTCTGGATTCCTTGTGGTCATTACATGTCCTCTGGCACTGTTTTCCAGCTGAGGGCTCGCACTCACAGCCTTGGCCCTGTTTCATCTTTGTATGTGAGTGTCCTCTGAAGTTTTAATTTGCTTACACTGTCTTCCTTTTCACTCCCTGTTCTGTCACCTTTGAAGTTTTGTTAAAAGCTGCCATTTTACTCTTGAGGACTGGCACTAAATGAGGGAAAATGTATGCTGCTGCTGCTGCTGCTGCTGCTGTTGTTGTTATTGTGGTTGTGTGGGTTTAGGTGGCTGTGGAGAAATGTCTTTCAAGATTTAGCCTCTGAAATGAGAACCGTGTTGAGGAGATGGGATCTTCATACCACCTGGTGTACCTTTACATGCAAAGTAAAAGTTCAAAGCCTTTTGCCTCATCTGTAGAGCACCTTTCTACATAATAGCAAGAATTGAGTCTGGGTGTGGCTTATGTCCCATCCCCTCTTTTCCTGAGGATTACTTTAAATAAGAATACCTGTTTATTATTTAAAGACCATTTTGTCCTGTGTGTATCTTCTGAGATCTAGTTGCCCCAAAGATGCCTTTCAATGTTGCACTTCAACAAAAATAGAACAAGTTTATTGGTAGTCCTTATGACACATCCCCCACAGTTGGATACTTTATCCTCCCCCTTTTAAATCTGCCCTCAATTCTTTCTAAAGCTGTCTCTAATGCAGGAGTTCTGTTTTCCCTTTGTTTTCAGATATATGTCCCTTCCTGATATCTCCTTTCATTTCTAGGTTTCAGTTTTCAATTCCCTTTTATTTGATCATAGGCTTTTTCTGTATTCTTTCTAAAACAATCAGTGTACCTTTAAGTTTTCACTTTCACCCTCAACTATGGGGTGAGGTAAGTCGGTGTTCAGGTTTTTATTGATGTCAAGGCCTCTCCTTGTCTCTGAATTGGTTGCTTCTTGTTCACAGTACTAAGTAATTATTAATATATCAAATCTAAGTTCATAGGTTGATTGGACTGCCTCCTTTCACCATAGAGACTTCTAAGTTCTAATCTACTCCTGGATGTTATAGTCTTGATTCTTTGTTATACTGAAGAAAGGAAACCTATAAGATATTATTATTTTACATTTGAAATTGTTACTTCTATTTTATTGGAATTGGATTTTGATTGTGTATCATCTAATATGTGGAAAAAACAGGTATATCAACCATGTTAAGCTACAGTGATGACCACTGAATGCATTGGCCATAAAATGAATACAGTATACACCAGAGATCAAATCATACCAAACAATTAGATGATAAAATAGTGCTGATATTAGGAAAACCATGCTATGACATTAAAATATTTCAGTCCAAGATGAAGCCAAAACTGATTTGTCTCAGATTGTACTACCTTACCAACCCACTTTATTACACATAATTTTTTAAAAGCACTTTTAGTAGGTAGAATATGGTGGATTACTGAGATCATAGGTGGTAGCTAAAGCTCTGTAAGTGTATTATTGAGATAAATCTTTTCACTTCTCTGGGAGAATGTGAACCAAGGTTTCTTTCAATAGCAACCTTTAAAAAAGTACTCCATCATTAGCCTACAGTGTAATAATTTGTTTGCACATTTGGTATAATCTCTTTCTTGATTTTTTTTCAGAGACATAATTACACATATTTATGAAGTACATAGTATTGTTTCAATGCATACAGTGTATAGTGATCAAGCTAGGGTAATGAACATATCCTGTCACCTTGAACATTCATCATTTCTTTGTGATGGGAACATTCAAAATCCTCTCTTGTAGCTTTCTGAAAATATATAATAAATTATTGTTTGCTATGGTAGTCTTACAGAGCTATAGAACAGTGCAACTGATTTCTCCTCTGTACCTAGAATTTTGTATCCTTTAACCAGTTTCTCCCTATCTTTCCTCTCCCCACTCATCCCAGCCTCTAAAAACCACTACTCTATTCTCTAATTCTAGGAGATCAAATTTTTATCTTCTACGTATGAGTGAGAATATACAATATTTATCTTTCTGTGCCTGGCTTATTTGACTTACCATAAAGTCTTCCTGAGTCATCCATGTTGCCCCACGTGAGAGGTTATTTTTTATGGCTGAATAGTATTCCATTGTGTGTATATACATATTTTCTTTATTCATTCATCTGTTGATAGATACTTATGTTGATTCCATGCCTTGGCTATTGTGAATAGTGCTGCAATAAATATGGTAGCACAGACATCTCTTTGTAGTACTGATTTACTTTCCTTCAGATATATACCGAGTCATTGCATTGCTGGCTCATATTTATTGACTTTGATATTTGTATGGAGTAGAAAATGTATAATATATATTATAATTTGTAATACATATATTAAGTGCTATATACAAACAACAGAGCCAATAAAATGACATAGTCTATCTGTCAAGAAATCAACTTTAGAGGAGACATTGTTGGTTTTAAGGGCTATGCCTTCTTCGACAGGTAAGTTGATCATTGTATAAGCTGAATTATGCATATCCTGTTTAGCTGCCTTGATTGTATTTACTCTTGTTTGAGTAACTTAGTAATGGTGACCACCATATGATGATGAGGAGGGGAAGGACAAGGAATAAGAGGAGGATTATGATGTTGACCAAGATGATGACATCACTGGCAATAGATAATACCAGAATGTCTTGAAATCCTAGTCCTTTAACAGCTGCTGGTTTGATTCCAGTTAAGCTTCTATTTTCTTGGACCTAGTGCAGTAGATGAGTTCCTTGCATTTGATATATTTTCATCAGTGAAAAGAAAAAAGTGAAAATGCTGTGCTTTTTAGATTTCCCTCATGTGATGCTTGGGCTATATCATCACACTCCTTCCCTGGCAGTAGAATCATCACCTTCTGCTGTTACTAGTATAGATTTTCGGAAATCTTGTATTAAATCCACTGATTTAAGAGCATTAGGAGCTTCTCTTTCTAGATTGCCTCTCCAATATTTTCATCATGATATGCGTTACTTAGAATTTATTCAAAATAAATAAATAAAACTCTGCTCTGTCACTGTTTGCCAAATATAATACATTGTCAATGTACCTCTTTATTTCACTAACATACTCTGTTTTCTTCTTAAAACCACATTGATTGGGACTTGGCTTCAAATATGCTCATAATTTAGCTGTTGTATATTAGCATTATCTTTTAGGTGCTATTTGCATTTTTCTTTTATTATTCAGAGAACATTTATTTAGGATTTTTTTTTAACCTTGAGAAAATGTTCTTTTTTTTTCCTCTCTTTTTTTTCTTTTTTTTTTTATTGCATTTTAGGTTTTGGGGTACATGTGAAGAACATGCAAGA